TCGAACACAACTAAGGCGTTTTCGTTGCTCTAGCACACCTCTATCAGAAGTTATTAGCGAAAAACTGTTAGATTCTGTTCGTGACCTGAGATAACCTCATGGACATAACGAGGGGTCACAGTTGCCATTTTCTGGTTCAGTGGGTCAATTTTACCTACATCTCGATGTTTGAGGGTTTCTAGAATAGCGTTCGTGCAAAACAGACGCTTTTCAATTTTCTCCCATTGACTTATAAGGCCGCAAAATTGACCCATAGGCGGCGGAACGAGGAGGGCACCGGGGCACCGTGTCCCCCTTTGATTTTGGCATTTTAACATTAGCCCTATGGGCGTTGCATGGAAAGAATGGGACCAAAAGTCGGCAGTGCCCCCCCCCCCTTAATTAATTGAGGGTGTTCCGCCGCTACTTTATTGACCTGACCTTATATTAGGTCACCGATAGGTATCGAAATTCCGAGGTATACATTTTATAGATAATGTTGCTCTAATCAATCGCTGAAAGTTTCAAGGCAATCGTTCAGTCGGTGTAGCTATGACGAGCATTCTTATTTTTTTTAGGTGAGGTCACTTGGCGTGACCTGGTGACCTGACCTAAGGCGACCTGGGTCTGAAATTTTCACAACATGTGCGGAAAAGATGCACGAACAGGTGTGCCAAAAACTGCAAGGGGGTGTTCATTCCCCCGGGCCCCGGCCCGGCGCGTTAACTGTTGTTGGCCTTTGCTTCATTGACTTGAGAGCCAAGATCTAAAAGGCATAATATCTAAGAGGTCAGCGGTTGACCTGTGCATGACCTGGGTATATTTAGGCCTGGGTATATGATCATAGGCGGTGGCACGGGGGGAGGGGGCACTGGGGCACTGTGCCCCCTTTGATTTTGGCATTTTGACATTAGCCCTATGGGCATTGCATGGAAAGAATGTGACAAAAAGTCGGCAGTGCCCCACCCCCCTCCCCTGAATTGAAGGTGTTCCGCCGCCACGTATATGAATTATGATTATATTATATCCAATCCTTAATATATATATACAATGCTCATCAACGCTAAGAGACATGGTGTTTATCAAATTACTTCTCATACAACTACCGCCTATCGAAACGTTGCTTGTCAAGCATGATTTATTCAGGTAATACCCAACATTTGATGATCCTACGAAAGAAAACACACGACATCCGCACGTTTTTTATTATTGGGTACGTACATAACAACGAACAATGTGCCGTCTAATCCTCGGGCTTCTGAGCACAGGTAGGCACTGGCTACCGCAGCAGGCCCAAGTGAAAAGGGCAAAAGGTGGTCTGGCCGTTGTCCGTCCGATCTACACTGGCAGAGTGGACACGCCACACAGCTCACCAGCTGTGCTGTCAACCGCCCGCCAACCGCAATGCAATGCTCAACTGCTCATTACTTAGCTCAGCTCAACAAGGGTCTCTCGGTGGCTAGTTTCTCTTATATCTAGCTCTTGGGCAATCTTGGGATGATATCAATGACGGCTGTCATTGGGAGATATGGCGCTAATAATAAACTTATAGCATACCTATTGCATAGCTATAGGGAGATAGAAGGATAGGAACTGAAGTAAATTTTAAGTTAAAACCTAGAACTAGATATATGGATAAGGAAGTACCTAGGGCGTACCAAACTATTTTCCCTTGGAGAAAATGGCTTGAATAGCTCGTAAACAGTCATGAAATTGAAGGTTCTGCCGCAAAGATGCGTCAATTTGGACTTGAGCTTGTTACCTGACCATTGTGATTTCAGGATTTACTGCTGTCATTCATTAAAACAACGACATTTTTCCAAAAACAGACACGAATGATTTAACGCTTCCAGCCCATCTAGCGAAGACGTACCTATTTAGGCAATGTCACATACAATTTACGCTCATTTCAATACTGCACATCCTAATAACTCAAATTTGTATGCACAGTAGTCAGATCTAGGTACTCCTTTTGCCTCCTGCAAGAATGGACTAGAAGTCGGCATGACATAACTATTTCATAACACATGAAATACCGGGAGTTCCTAAATAAACAGTCGTATTTAAAAGCTGTATATTATCAGCATGAAAGGCATGACAAAAACGAATCACTTTCTAACATACACAATAGTCGATGCCATTTCACGTGATACCATCTTCTTTTTGCTGTCTTTTCATTTGCGGCCACAGAGGACGTGTTCCATATGAGCCCCCTCTCGCTCCACACACAGCTCTGCGCGTCGCCGAGCGGACTCCACCGCAGCCCGGCAGATCTCCGGCCGCACTCGGCGCACCGCGGACGACACGGCCCTCTTGAGGTCATCTGTGGTTCTGGGGTTGCTTTTGTAGACCTGTGACTTCAGGTGACCCCAGAGAAAGAAGTCAAGTGGGTTCAGATCCGGAGAGTGCGGGGGCCAGGTCCGCACCTCTCTGCGGGAGATAACCCGCGAACCGAATCGGTTCCGCAGCCATTCTCGAGTCGCAACGGCCGTGTGCGCCGAGGCTCCGTCTTGTTGGAACCATTGTTGGTCCATCAGCTGCCTGTCTCCACCCAGCCGCCTGTTCAGCGCAGTCCAGAACTTGGCTAGGACTTGCCGGTAGCGCTGAGCGTTGACGGTGACAGACTCCCCAGCGTCGTTCTCAAACCAGAAAGGTCCGATGATGCCACTGCTGCTCATTGCACACCAGGCTGTGCACTTCACACTGTGCAGAGGGGCTTCTGCGACCAAAGCGGGAGGCTCCGTCGACCAGAATCGAAAATTCTGGGAGTTCACGCGGCCATCCATATGAAAATGGGCCTCGTCGCTGAACCAGATTCGGTGAGGGAACTCATTGTCCTGCTCGCAATTTCTCAAAAACCAGCCGCTGTAAAGAAGCCGTGACTGTTTGTCGACTTTCGACAGTGCTTGGTGAACGGAGACCTTATACGGGAACAGCTGAACGTCGTTTCTGGCCAAACGGTGAGCGGTGGTTTTGCTACAGCCCAGTTCCTGGCCCAGCCGTCTGAGCGACTTTTGTGGGCTCCTCTGGGGGGCTTCTCGTGCCTTTTGGGCGTTTAGAGGCGTCCTCTTGGTTCTTTTTCGGCCACATTACCCTTTTTTACGTTCTCCACACTACCTCTTGCCAAAAACTTCTCAACTATACTTAAAATGACGGTTCTTGATGGCACTTGGGTCCTTTTTTAAGTGTCGGCGTAGCTTACGTTGTGTTGCAACGATTGACTTTGTCTCAAAATAGCAGAGCTGGGCGCGTTCCTCGATTTTCGGTAGTGCGTTAGCGTTCCTGCGTTCCTCCGGCCGCGGTTAGTGCGTTCCTGGAATAGCGTTCCTCATTTTTTTTTCGTTCGTTGCGTTAGCGTTCCTGCGTTCCTGCGTTCCTCCCTCAAAAATACCGCCGAACCACGCGGCGCGGGCCCAACCAAACACGGGGCGAATAGATCACAGAATACCCAGAATGGCGACGTGGGGCCGAAAAGCAACTCGACATCTCTTTTCCGAATCGAATATCTGAAATACGTTTTACCAATATCATCCGTAGGGTTTTCAACAAAAATACGACCTGCTTAAGAACAATAGTTAAGTTAAAAGATGTATCATAGTAAAAGTTATCATATTTACTTTACACATTTAATGCCTGAAACTGAATCGAATAGTAAACATCACCACTAAAAATCTTTACACATTTAATGCCTGAAACCGAATCGAATAGTAAACATCACCACTAAATCTAAGCAAGCCTTCCTCGATTCGACCGACAAGTGGCGCCTCCCGGCAAACACACGTACTCGAGATTCAAACATTTGACACAGAGTTCATTGTTGTGACACACTTGCTTTACTTGTATATAGTTATGGGCGCAAAATGACCTTGTAGTCGGCGCGCCCTTAAGCCCCAATAAACAACAACAAAACAGAGTTCATTGGCAGCAATATAATTTTTCGGGTGGTTCCGCAAGAACACAGGAACGCTTTAAAATTTCGGGTGGTGCGTTCCTCTTACTTGCGTTCCTTTGAAAAACTTTGCGTTCCTGCGTTCTTGCGTTCCTAAAAAGGGCGGTGCGTACGTACGGAAGAACGCAGGAACGCACTAAAGGAACGCACTTGCCCAGCTCTGCAAAATAGAAATGTACTATTTTTGTTTTTATGTCTGTACTATACGGCTGCATGATAGAAAGTGATTGATTTTGGTATGAAATAAAATGGCATCGCACGTGCTATCATCACGTGCAATTTGATTGTTGTGATTTTGTTAGTTGACGCCACTAGAGGCAAAAATAATTCGACTGTTTATTTAGGAACTCCCGGTAGCTTAGTCAATACTCATGCATAACTAAGGCCACTACGACATGAGTCTACGGAACGATTGTCCGTTTTGCAGAGTTGGCATGAATTATTAAGGCAAACGTAGCAAAAGTGTATCAAAGTAGAACAACTGCAATGGTTTAACATCAGCAACACAAGAACATCTGCCATCTGGAGTGTAGCATTGATATGAACTGAAAAGCAGCGTTTCACAGCTATATGTATTCTCGAGTAAATACTGCGCGAATCCCTTCCGTCGCCCGATCGTCGATGCACTATAGGCGCTTCTCGCAACATTTCATTCAACTCTCAATCAAGCACTGGAGGTCATAATTCTGAATCTCTACAGGAGCTTGATAAAAAATGCGTGAATTATGTCGACATTAATAAAGGCTGATACATACAATGCATCTGAGCTAAATGTTTTGGCATTTTATAAGGTTTGTGTTATTCATGAGCTGTAATTTCAGAGTTTAGAAAATATTCATAGGTATAATCTAACATAATTTCAGCATTCGAAAATGTTTTTTTTGTGGATAGGTATACCTACTGCGTCTGAAGTTAAAGTTTTTCATAACAATACCAATGATTTATGTCGAACCATTTATCTTTCGTTGCATGACCTGAAATCTTAAATAAGAGAGTGGCAATTGAAAAGAGCTCGCTAATCTTTCGCAGGGTGACGTTTTATCTATAGCAAATCTTAAATGAAATCCGTAAGTACCGTCTGCCAATATTTTACAGTCAAACAATATCGGACAATAAAGTTCTCGAGCAGCACTGACTTCCTTTTAAGTCGCTAAAACGCTTGAAACGCAAAAACGATAACGTCTCCAAGCATAACATCCGGGAATAGGTACCCCTATGAAACCAATCAATCGTAAGCATTGGCAGATCCATATGAAAAACAGCGTACTTAATGCACCAAAGATAACAGTGTTCATCCGTTAATAATGAAGAAGCACTTTGCATATCATACTGAAGACCCGGCGGTATACTAGGCACGTTCACTCTGGCTCCGTGTTGAGTGCCGTCACAACTGAGCTCGGCCCTTTGTCGAACCGGATCAGCGAGCTGTAGACCCCCGGCGACCACCGTGACTGGCCCAGTATTTATACGGATGCCTGACGATCCTGCATGCACTCTGTAGTATCTCTGGCACGCCTATATAGATACCAAAATCACATTTGGATTGTGGCGATACGTACCGCTAGCGCGACACATCGGACGGCTCTTAGGATGGAAAGTCGAGTTCGAATCCCAGCACGGTACAGTTTTATCGCTGTTAATCCGTTCTCACTTATACCCGATTGTCTCTCAGGCACAGACCAAGTGGTCTACGTCTCAGGGCTACTCCGTGCGCCCCGCGCTCGCGCTCAGAGGGTGCCACGCTCAGGGATCATTTCCTGACGACGACGCGCGCGGCGGCTGCTCCTGAAGACTGTCATCGGCGGTGGGCGAGGGCGAGTGGCTCGAGCTGCTGGCTGAGCTGTGGGGTGTGTGCAGCGGCCGCATCCGCCGGCTGGCGGCTGTCTCCTCCGAGTGCGAGTGCGTGAGCGTGGCCCGCGCCAGACTGGAGTGTTTGCCGTGCGCCGACGGCTCGTCGTCCAGCGACCGGGCCGGCACGTGCGTGCCCGGCCGGGCCGTCTCCAGACTAACCAGCTCCAGGAGTGTCTCCATGAACTCGGTCAGCTTTCGCAGAGTGCCCTCTCGCATCTTGGAGTAGCCCTTACCTGCCGCAGATAGGTGTTTTGTTAGGTATACAAAAACGCCGCGGAGCACGAAGCGGCTGTCGTTAGATGACTTATAGATATTCAGTCATAAATGTTATGACTTCAATAATCTCATATTGAGACCATGGATACCAACGATATTTTTAGGAATTCTAAGAAGATTCCAGTCGCGTCATTGGAAATGCGAGGTGCGGTTCTTTCGAGCGAAACAGGACGACAGTTAAGTAGGTACTTATCCTCTCGGGCTGATATAGATCTGTCGGTTTAAATTAGTAATTGCGACACCGGTAAAGATAAACGTGGGGTTAGGATCTTGGGGAATTAACCAGATTTGAAAAATGTCGAATGAGTGCCGTTTGTTCCAAATAACCCGATGATTTCAGAACCAGATTTTCGTCCCGTTAATCGAAACAGACAACGGTCTTAGTGATCGACCAAGTCCAGGTAATAACAAGCTACACTAGCCAAAATTTTAGCTGACAATTATCATGCCTTACCTACTTGTCCATAAGTAGGCATTGTAGGCACACTTTACAAGGAATACCGTATACAATCAACCCATTTCTTATTTTAGAAGATAATGCAAGTCCCACAAATTTAAAACGATATCGCTGAATTTTAGCGACTCGTATACGGCACATCAGCTAACCGGATTTTTCCACTTACGCTCTCCAAATGGTTATCTGTCCTTGAGTGATTAAATCAACGCTGCTATGACGGCTATTAGTAAAGTAATCTTGATCTTGTAATCTTGATGACGGCGGTCCTACGGGGCGCGTGCTTACCTGCAGGCTTCAGAGTTCCCTCCACGGGAACCCCCTGCTGGGTGAGGGCTGCCGCAACTCGCAAGAGCAGGCTCTTCTGCTGGTCGGGCGTCAGCGGCTGCAGGCGCGATATGAACCGCACCAGGTACTCCACCGTGAACCGGGTGTCCTGCAACGCATGGCAGTCAACTGTAATTTTGTGTCCCGCAACTCACACCCGACCTGCGAGCCGCGTATCCCGCAACTGAGACCAGACTTCACTGCCAGCTGTCTCAGTAACCGCATGTCCGGTGGCTGATTTATAGCTGATCATGCACTTGCAGCGATCAAGTACGCCTTGCGTCATAAAAACGGAGGCATTATTTTTGCGTGCAAGTTCAATGTCATGCATTGTGGCACGGTATGGACAGCGGATGCCGGACACATCATTAGCAATGCGAGTAGTAACGAGCCAGTGATGCAAGCAATAAACACGGAGTTGATGAATTTATGACTGATGCACAAATAAAATAATGCTTCATGAGATGTAGGTATTGTTCTTAGCTGGGACGAAATGAGATCAGCCGATAACATTTGGAAGGACTCCAGGAAATAAAACTGCCTTCTACTAATTTATGATATTCTTTGTGAAATTATGGGCCCTCTTATAGTCGTCATATCAGATGCAGATACGACATCCTAATTAATAACGCATGACTTGGGTCATTTGCAATCTGCTAGACAACTAACTACAGACCGGTATCTTTATTATCACTCTGCTCAAAAATTCTGGAGAAGGTAGTGTGCGAGGACCTGCTCCGTGCATGTCTTCCTGCACTGCCTCCTTCCCAGCACGGATTTCTTCCAAAACGCTCTTGCATGAGCAACCTTACCTGTTTCTTGGAACACTGCTGGACCTCACTGACAAAGGGATCGCAAACGGACGCTATCTAAACAGATTACTCGTCAGCTTTTACCAGTGTAAGCCACAAGCTGCTTTTACACAAGCTGGAGCACTCTTTTAACATATCGGGTCTTGCACTTGGCTGGGTTGAGTCTTACCTTAGCCAGCGGTCCCAGCGTGTAGTGCTGGATGGAAAACACTCTGACTGGACTCCGGTCATCTCCGGAGTGCCGGAGGGCAGCATCTTGGGCCCCCTGCTCTTCACCTGCTTTGTCGCTGACCTCCCTAAACACATCGGGTCATCTTGCTTGTCATACGCTGACGACGTCAAAATTTTTCACCGTGTATCCTCTCCTGAGGATGCCCACGCCCTTCAGGCTGACTTGGACCGTCTCAGCCGGTGGTCAAGGACCTGGCACCTGAAGCTCAACCCGGCCAAGTGCAGGACCATCACCTTCACTCTGCGCTCATCACCTCATGTCGCTTCATACGCGCTCGACGGTCACCAGCTCGAGAGGTGTGTTAACGTGCGTGACCTTGGCATCATCTTAGATAGCAAGCTTAACTTCGCAGACCATGTTGATGCTATAGTCTCGAAGTCGAACCGCATGCTGGGCTTGCTGATGAGGAGCATGCAGGTCTCGACACGGGTGCATCGAGCGCAGTTCGACTGTGTCGCAGCCCTCACCGCCTACAAGGCTCACGTGCGTTCCGTAATGGAATACGGCTGTGTTATCTGGTCGGGTGCCGCTGTCACCCACCTGCGCCGATTAGAGCGACTACAGCACCGTTTTCTCATGTGGCTGGGCGCCCGGACACAGGCGAGATGCCCTTCACTCGACTATGCATCGCTGCTTAAACTGTTCGGCTGCGAATCAGTGAGGTCACGATTCACACAGTGTGACATCAACTACATGCGCTCCGTGTTCAGTGGTCGCTTGGACTGTCCCGACATCTTGGCCATGTTTTCTCTATCGGCACCCGGCCGTCGCACGCGCCGTCCCGAGCTCTTTCATGTGCCGCGCGGAAGAGTGGACACTGTGAAGCGAGGATTTCTGATTCGTCTTCCCCAGCACGTGAACTCGCTTGTCCACAGCAGCCCCGACGCCGATTTCTTTATGCCTAGCTGCAGGCTAAGGTCGGAGATAGCCAAATTTGCTGACGACCAGGGAACATACTTAGCCTAAGGTCACTGTTGTAGCTCCTCATGTAGCAACTAGCCGTTACCGGTTTTATTCTCATTGTCATTGTCTACGCTCATTTTTCGTCTTTTTTGTCTTTTTATTTCATCCACTGTCATTCTTGCTTATACCTACACTCTTTTAGGATTTCAGGCTATTGCCTGTGCTGTTTACTTTTAGGGGATTTCTCATGTCAGTATACTTTTAGCCTCGCTCATTAGCCAGGTGCCTATACTTGTATATTCTCTTAGGCTTTTGCTCATGTCTTCTATATTCTTAGGCTGTTGCCTGTCGGTTTACTTTTAGGTTCTTGCCATCTTGTTAATTTATTTGGATTTTGATCAGTGTTATCATTCATATTTATTTCCATCCAGTGTGTGTGAGTGGTTGTTATTGTCAGTGTGCGACTGCATCCGTAAGTGGGGCTTTGCCTGTGGACGCTATGCCAATAAATAAACAAATAAACAAACAAATAAACAACGGTACCTTCTTGTTTCTGCGGTTTTGTTTCCACGTCTCCGCTAGGAAGCAATCGGAATTGTCGGTCGTTGGTTGTGTCAGTTGTGTTTTGGAACTTTTTTAAACACTGGTAAAACTTTTTTTTCTGACATGAGCGCAGACTGCAGAGGATGAGGATATTATATATGTATTATCGAGGATGTGGCCTGTGATAATTGACAGAACCAATGCGGTAAAGATAGACTTTTCACGACGTTCCAGCGTTGCGAACATACCTTGTCCTGCTTGGTGAAGCAGTAGTCGATTTTTCCTGGCGCCAGCACTATGTATGTTAGGTATTCCTTGTCCAGTATCGGTGTCTTGAGGTGCTCCAGCCAGGTGAATAGTAAACCTGCAAAAGAAAAGTGGACAAATCTGCAGTCTTTCAATGGTGTTAGCTTTACAAACAAAACCAAGCTGATTCCAGCAAAATACGCAAACCAGCATGCTATCTGATCAAGGCTTGGCTTTAAAGTTTAGTCCTCTGCAATCAAGGGCTACTTGTATTTGCAAAAACGACTATTTGTAAACCTATGTCGTTTCGAAACCGTGTCCTTTTCGGAGACGCCAGAAGATGTTAACCCGCGCGGGGCTGGGGGGGGGGTAAATTTTACCCACCCTCTCGAATTTTTGCAATAACTCAAAAACGGCGGCGCGCAGCGCCGCCAAACTTTCAGTACCTTTTCTTACATCAATCTGACACGTTACCTGAAAATTTGAGCGAAATCCGTCGGAAAATTTTTGAGAAATTGACGTTTTAATGACGTCATGTTCGCCATTTTCGCCTCAAAAACGGCAAAATTTCAAACGCCGCTAACATCTTCATTTTTAAAGGAATCAAGACGTAACAGAAAAGATTATACGTAATTCTACTTTGTCTATCAAATGGCTATCTCGATTTTTAGAAAATTTTGGATTTTGGCCCAAATTTTTTTCTTCAAAAAACTGACTTTTTTGGGAAAATAATTATAAAATCCAAAATTTTGCGTGTATAAAAAAACGGAATATATGTCAGAGATGTGGTCTATGTGCACCTACATACCAATTTTAAGAAAAACGGGTCCAAAAATGTGGGAGTTATTAAAAATTTCATGACGTCACGACACACAAAAATTTTGAAAAATGAATTTTTTGGAAGTTCTAGACCTCGTACGGAAACAAAAATAATACCATTCGATTCGCCGTGAAAAACTGCATCAGATAGACATCTTTTTAGGCCTTACCAACCAACTTCAAAATTTGACCTCACTTGACCTGACCTTGACCTGACCTCGACCTGAAATTCATCCAGATGTGGTCAATATCACCTATTGAGTGTGCCTATTGAATTCTATGAATAAAATGACCCATAAAACATGTGTCGCACATGCCCTTTTCTATATTTTGTTTTTGGTGATCTGACCTGACCTGACCTTGACCTTGACCTCCGAATGATATTTTATGCAGCGAATTTTGTCTTGGTAGCCTAAGAACACGTTTTGGGCACGATAGGCGTTATCACAAGTGTATTCGCGGCCATTGGGGCGACGTAAGAAAAGAAGAAAACAACTTGCCTCAAGAACTTTAAATTATCAGTTAGCATGCACCTTTTCCTTGATGTGTAGATAATTTACCATTAATTTTTAGAGAAAATTGCATTTAAAATCTTCCATCTATGCTTTTTTCATTGTTTGCAAAATATGTCCTTTTACTAAGCTAGAATCACTTATTAGAAATAGTTCCCGCATCATCGTCAAGAACAATAGGGAAGGCTTGAATTGAATACAATAATCTAAACGGTTTTGTAATCTATGTGAAGACACTTCTAAAATTGCCTGTAGAAATATTGAAGGCAAAAGTTCAACTTTTTCACAAGACGGATGCCTATAAACCTATTCAACGTGTGTCAACTCAGCCGGTATTTCGCCGCCTACAGCCCAGCTTTCCCTAGTGACCGATAGAGGCGCTGCTATCGATGTCCGCCCGTGCCGCCTAACGAATCAGTCTCAGTCCATTCTTCGGCAACTACGGTGCAAGGCCGATACTGTAGAAACTTGCAATTTGTACCCTTGACCTGACCTTGACCTTGACCTCAAGGCTCAAACTTTAAATTAAAAACATGTTTTTAGTTGTTCGTGATGAGATCTTTCGATTGGCGTTTGAATTTTCCAAATCGGACCATTAGTTCGGGAGATAACAGGGGGGGGGGGGGTAAAATTTACCCACCCCCAGCCCCGCACGTTCGGCTGGAGACCCCAGCCCCGCGCGGGTTAATTACAAATTAAGATTTTGCTCTTCCCTGTTGACATCTCTCCTTTTGAACAGTAAGGAAGCGAGGAATGACACTTCCCATTGCGAGAAAGGCCTTCGACCTCACCAGAATAGGGATCAGGTCTGGTCAGAATCTAGGCCTGGTTCCATAAGCACGTCGGCACGCGATAACCTGTTACAGACCGGCGAGCGGTGACCGACATGTATACCTGTTGTTCTGTGATCTGTCACAGATAGATCTGTAATTGGTCAGTAACCAGTGACCTGTCAATGACTTGCAACCTATCACGATATGAACTATGAAGTGGGGACTGATCGGAGCTGCGATCGTTGTCCTACCCAACCGACCCAAGATCGACCCGACCCGAGCCAGTCTTGGTGTTCTCACCAATCTTTTTCACTTATCCGCTGCGCAATGGAACCAATCCAATTCCTGTAGCTCACGACGCAGCTACGAGGCAGCAATAAATTACGTTGCATTTGACATAATTTATGCAAATGGTTCATCATACAGCATCAGCGAGGAATTGGTCGTGAAACCACCCCGAGCGGTAATGTACCCGGAAAGTCGCCATTGACCGGTCGATATCCAGTGAATAAAACACGCCCCTGCCGCGAGTGGCGGCACGCTACCGAGACACACTCCTGCGGCACTGTGCCGTCCTCATAGACACTGTAAGTACCGGGGCAGCACTTCCTAGACACTACTGGAGCCGCTCCTCCCATAGACACTGCATGTGCCGCCCTCATAGACACTACTGGAGCCGCTCCTCCCATAGACACTGCACTGGGGCGGCACCTCCCATAGACACTGCACTGGGGCCGCAACTCTCAGAGACACTGCACTGGGGCGCCCCCATAGACGCTACTGGAGCCGCTCCTCCCATAGACACTGCGCTTGGGATCGTACCTCCCTTGTAAAGACTGCACTGGGGATTGTATGCTGTCCTACATACTTGCACGACGAAATTGTGTGGCGATATTTCGCAAATGAGATTTCAAGTGTCAAAATAAGCCGTTCTATAACGCCATCAAAGCTCACACAAAGAGCCCACTTACACCTGCCGGTAAGCACCTCATTCAGCTGCTCACCAGTGAGAACCTTGAGGTCCGTCTCGGTGCCGAGCTTCTCCCAGGCTGACTGGCGGATGTTGAGCTCCAATCGGAAGCTCTTGATGCGTTTGTTGAACTCGGGACCGAGGAGGGCGTGGTCCACCAGCAGCGCGTCGTAAATGGCGGTTACCGGTACCCTCTGAAAGTATAGATACCGTCAGGTCAGGTCAGGTCTGGTCAGGTCAATGCAGGTTGAAGCCAAGCGCTGAGTTTACCGCGACATAAGGACAACGGCGTCATGCGGGTTTCTGGCTCAAAACAATTCAGGGAACACAAACGCACATATCGATAAAATACATTACAGAGCCTACATACGAGTATTTCAGAGCCATCTTTCCTGAAAACCTGCATATATTCCCTTTTCCGCAGTCAGCTATAAGCCGTCTCATGCCCGCAGCAGCGGCCTCCCTACCTGGATCTGTTCGTCCTCGGCCGCCTTGCGCAGGTCCACCTGCGACATCATCTCGTGGTAGACGTCGTTCTGCGCCAGACTCTGGTTGTGGATGCCGTCATCGAGCACCGAGTCCAGACTGGTGTCATCCACAGTCGACCCGAGCCGCGAGCCGTTCAGACTGTCCGAACCTGCGCGGAACCGAAAAGTGTCAATTGGGGCAGTATGTTTCAGTGGCGAGTGTTGAGGTAATGCTATTACGTTATGTCTTGTAAACGACGATCACCGAACGATAGTTTCATAAGTAATGGACGGATTAAAAGAGTTAAGAGCTTTGCGCCTGAAGATTGAGGCTACGTTGGACACTTACAGACCTGAGCCACTAACTGAAGGAAACTTCTGGAGAAAACACGATTATTTGCACAAATTTAACACCGGGGAAATACCCCACTAATCTCAAGCTAAATGCCGGGCTTCGCATCTGCGACTATCTTTCTGCGATAAAGGACCGAAATAATTTTCATTACATAACATTCATACTTCTGCGACACCGACGCAGCAAGAAACGCCTGATACGCTAGTGAGCGGTTCGCCCATGCGGAGATGGGCGGATTTCGCCCAAGGTGATGCCGGCTCGCCCTTGTACAGACGTGTTCGAATGAGATTAACAGTTCATGTTAGTGTTAGTCACCAAAAGAGGATAAAAAGTGACCGCGACAAGGACAGTTAGGCCGTCACATTTTAAGTCACAAAGGGGGTTTTTGGTTTGACAGGTGAACGGGACGACACGGTGTTGTGTGTGAATTGTGTCATATTCAGGGCCCAATCTTATAAACGCCGTGAAAGGGATATGGCAGCACTCTAAGGCTGGATATATAGTACGCAATCTTATAAAACTCTGTGAAATCGAAAACACGGCACGCTCTTTACGGTATTGGTAGCCGCTGGTTTTGAGGATGCTGTAGAGTGATTTTAACCGTGAGCAGCTGTGCACATCTCAAAACACCGACAATCATCAGCTGATTGCGGTTTCAGCGGCGTCCATTTCACGCCAGAATTTGTGGCGTACTTTGACGAGCTTCTCAAGACAGTTTAATTGATTCAAGATAAATTCCAATTCATTTTATGATACAAGTATGCAATATTTTACATTATGATATTTTTAAGATTAAAACATCCTCCATATATTAACTCATGATTTATTATAATGATGCTTATTATACAGACAATGATCAATTTCAAAATATGTATTTCCAGGAACTAAATGCACACTAAAACACATAAAAACGAATGTTCATCGTTATATGGCTTTTTTCAAATTAAAAGGGGATTTTAAAGAGGATTTTAGCACCAGTAACCGTCTTAGATTTTCGGCAGACACCGCATTATAGAATCGGTATGGGTCTTTAGCCTATTCTGACGTCTCACGTATGACACAAAAAAAAAACGGACACTTCATGGCTTCTGATAAGATATTTAGATTAATGATGATATACCTTAGTTTGTCAAAAAAAAAATGTAAATGCCTACTCACTATTCGTATTTCCTCACTTTCTGTCTGGCACAGTTACTGATCAGTGATCAATCTGTTGTTTCTCTTTCTGCATCTCGATCTGACTTCTGAACCAAGTATTTTTCTTGATAGGTATAGCTTTGATATGTAGACTGCGTACTTCAATCTTTTGAGGAATTGCTTTTTAGCTTTAGGTTAGGTAATAGGTACCTATGCTTGAATAAGAAGGAAAATAAGCTGCAACTTGACCAATTCAGTTCATGTACGTAGTCTTTGAATTTTAGTAGTTTATCTTCAAGAAGGAAAATGTCAAGAGCTTATGACAAGAAGGAAAATAAGCTATATCTTGAATTGATCCAGTTAATGTACTCCTGATGCTCAAATTGTAGGAGCTTCATTGTCAACGGCATTACTTAAATTACTGAAACAGTAGCCGAGCTATAATTAAATGACTATTTAAATAATTCTTTAACAAATTTATTGCAATGCCTTAACAGCAAATAAATGCAAATGATAAGTAGAAGAAACACTTTATTCACTCGAATTTCTGAGCGCGAGAATGCCCTCGCTGAAATTTATTTGGTCGGCAATCCACTTTTCAGGAGAATTCTTCAAGCATGTTTGTGTTTTCCATAGTTTGCTATCACGTTTTCCATAAATAACTCATTCATTACACATATGTGTGTCTCTAAAAGAAATAAATGCCCAATAAAAATTAAAACACATAACTTTTGCTGTTCGCAAACAGTACGCATAATTTCCAATAGCGACGGCGACAAGACATTGACCAATCACGTTGCGTGTTTCCTGCTGGCGTTGATTTGTACTGTGGGCAAAATGGCGTGAATAGAATTACCATACTATTCTCTTTATAAGATTGCGTGAATAGGGTGCCGTAAATAGAGTGGGGTGGAATGATAGTACGCCATTTGGTAGCACAACCTTTATAAGATTGGGCCCTGGTGTGAAATCGAAGTCTCACATCATATACCAACTCAGTGTGTGTAGTGCTCTCAGTGAGGTTCGACCGTGTGGCGAGGGAATGAGTTTGCAGTAATGTGCAAAATTATCTACATACCGATTATTTGGAGCCCCTGCTACAGCTGCAATCGGTTTGATTTCCGATAAAATATATCTTTGCAACAAGTGCATGCCTGCTCAGCGAACAATGGCATTTTGAAGATGAAATAGATGCTTCAAAATAATTTAGCTAGACATGGAACTGGTTTCTTTCAGCCCATCACACCTTTAATCTAGAAATCCTTGCATCAGTGCTTCTGAATTTGCAGCTTGTCACTTATCTAAATGCATCGACTTAAACAGGTGAAAAAAATCGGTGGGCAATAAACAGGTTAATCACGCCATATATAAAAAGGCGAAAGGCCATCTTAATTAGCAACTGGCAAGGTGAAGAAATCAACGACATTTTCCTTAGATAATCCCAGCATGTGACCTATTGCCAGCAGTTCTTTTTCTAGTGATGCGGTTAAGTGGACCTCGCTCTTTCGCAGTAAGCTCCTGTGATTGCCCTCAATACCAAGCGATCATCGTGGCTCAATCTATGTTCTAATATAACCACCCGGTTCAGAGCGCCCATACAAATCTCATCGATCTAAGGCTAATCGTCGCTCGTGACTCTGCATACCGTTCGTTTCGTGACTCCCACACGCGCGCCAGCAGATGCCCTCGCCACGATGTCACGCACGCTTCCATGGCGGCGTTGTCTCACCGAAACGGGACTGCGGTATAGGATCTACAGGATCTCCATCGGCACTTGGACGATGTGAAGAATGGCTCCTACCGGAGTGTCTTACCTTGCGGTATGAGCCCATTGGTTACTTTCTCGAGGAATGGGATCTAGCTGGTCTAGAGACATGGTCTTCCGCTTTGTCGGTTGTGTTTTATCGTAAAGAATGAACTTAACACTTTGTCTCTCCATGTGTCTCCCCACACAGGTCACCCGCTGTGTCTACTGTACGTCTCATCGTCAGAAATGGACTTAACACTGTGCTTCGCTTTGAGATACGCTCCCTCAGTATGTCTCAGGTCATGAGACACAGCCCCCCGTCGTATCTCACCGTGCGGTACGGGCGAGTCTGACGGGCTGGTGACGGGCATCGTGCTCATCTGCGAGTAGCTGAGAGTGCTGGCCGTCTCTCCCTGCAGACGAGCGGCGATGAAGAACGCCGTGAAGCTCGGCGAACCGACCCGGTAGTCGGGAGCCGCGCTGAACAGACCCCCGGACCGCGAGCGGGACACGGGCTCGCAGAGACGCACCAGCCGCTCACAGAGAACGTAAACCAGCTGGGGGTGGAGGGGTGGTGGAGGTCAGGCGCCGCATCGCGGTGGATGGTTCATGGCCCAATATTTTGAATGCTGTGGAATGGAGTTAGCAGCTTTGTCTGATGTTCAGCTACAGAAAACGGCTATTAAATGCAGAATGGTTGGTACGCATTTCATTCAATCGAATATTGACAGTGGATGGAATCGTTTTGTTTACTCAGATACGGTCGTCACAAATAACAATTCTTCTCTGCACGTGAAGCTTTTTGGTATCTGATACTCGTCATGACCACTGATGAACTTGACCTAACCGAAAACATTATTATTTAGGTATCACATGATTATCATGCAAACATTATAATGCTGACCGGATTTTTGTTGCTTTTTCATTTTATTTGTCCGCGTTTCACCTTGGGTATGTGACGCAGCACTCGTGCCTCATAGCCGTGTAGGACGTGCCTCTGGCGACTCAGACACTGGGCCAGTGTGAACTCCGGGTGCTCCTTCTTCTTGTCCCGGTCCTTCACCAGCTCCCTACGCCATTGTCATAAGAAAGACGTTAAAAATTCGGTCACCTCTAGAATCAGCAGTCAATGTTCATAAATGTTTAATGGAATCAGCTAAATGAGCAAGTCTTAAAGGTAGTGTGCCAGCTTTCCTGGACCATATGGAGTTAATGACCCGGATAAGGAGAACCGGATTTTTAGAACTTATCCATACCTTCAAAACTTATGGAAACGTCTTAAATTCTTCAAATTTTGAGTACCCCAGTGCGAAATTCGCCCCGACGGGTTGTCGGTCGTACCTACCCCAACCACATTTCACACCACTATGAACAATAAATGCACACACTAAAATCGCTATTACCGATAGGCTCATCCAATCAAGTTTCGATAAACCCGTTCATCATCATCTCCTGCGGTTTCGAACACGCCTGTTAGGTGGCTTCTGATGCTCGTCGAGGTCGGAATTTCCAAATACGCGTGGTGCGTCGGGCCGCGCGCTCTGACTTCGGCCAAGAAAAATGCGTCAGCTGATCATTGTCATTTCTGCCACTTGCGTGTGGTGTAATGTGGTCATAACTTAAGAGACGGCTGTTTCATATCAATTATTTTACATAAAATCATATTTCAAACCACAAATTAATGTTCGACAGCCAAATTTAAGAAACAATACCAATACAGGCTTACAGTTTAAGGCTCGACATTGTGTTGTCTACGATTAGACAGCTGATAACTCATTCCCGTACGTCGTATGGTCGTAACACTATAATGACCTTTGCTTATTGTCACAAGTGCGCCGCATTCGCGATTGTTGCCCGACGCCTGTTTGCAGGTGAGCCCACTACAGTTGTTATACATATCTAAAAACCGATAAACTTTTAGGCGAAAAAGGCACTATTCCAGGCCCATTTTTGATTTTTTTTTGCGATATTAGGTAAAAACAGAAGCTTCTTATCCTAGGAAAAATAAAACGGGAGATCTTTCAAAGGTGGCACACTACCTTTAAATGCGAATAAAAACTGGCCCTAAAAGCTAGCCCTATAGGCATACACTTGGATCGATGGGCAGTTACTCGAAAATAAGCTCTTCTTGGCAAAACGTTTCCGGTAAAACGTTAATCAGCTCAACGAAATAGCGAGGCGCTTGACTGTCAAGGACATTTTGTTAGAGCCACCAAAGGGATTAGAAGTGCGTAAATCTTCGAATTATTTCCCGATAGCTTCTTTTAGTGTTGAATAAGATGCAATGAGCTGAGGGATGTCACGAACGGTTTACGCAGAACAGTATCACGAAATTCACTACAAATCTTTTCCGCTTTACCCGTAAGCTCGTAACCCATGTAACGACGGTCACTGAGTAAAATTAATTAAACAATGTTACGGAAGCGAGAATGAATGAAAGTTCTCTAATATTTTTTATTTTATTTTTTGCTCTTTCTGTATTATTTGCTTATCAATTCAAGCTTCTACTTCGGATTCCGGACGTAACCTCCTTGTTAGAAAAGACGGTCATCTGTCAGATGACAGGACGTTAGATAAGACGGACATCTGTGAGATGTGGACCCTTTTGTTGGAGAAGACGAGCTTTGAGTTGTGGACGTACTTGTTTGAGAAGACGACCAGCTGTGGAAGGATGAACTGCTCGAACTCTTGCACGGCCAGGATCTGTCCCCTGGTCTGCACGGCGTTCGGCCGCTTCAACCTCACGTAGCGGATGGCGTCGTTGGCCTTCACCCTGAGCCAGTAGACCAGGTAGCAGGCGATGATGACGCCCGTCCGGCCCAGACCTGCAGGAAGAGGCTATCAGCTGGCGCAGTAGCTGGCGGACTATAACACGTCGCAGTTGCGTGGCAAATAACTGCAAGGTAATCCAAGCGTAGATAACATCGGAAATGTCAGCCGTTGACTCGGAAAATATTAATATCTCGCTATTTTGCATGTCTTTTCTTTTAACGAAAAAAGTCCAGCAGGCACCAGCACCCAGTGACAAAGAAGCCATGCTTATAGCCCTTACTGCCAGCTGGTGCTTTCCCCAGTCCCACTGCTGACTATATAGGTATTTGTGTATGTGGCATGACGCTCACGGGCCACAGCGTCGCAGAAACGGTCAGCGGCGACCACCAGTCGCCAACGACTTCGATTTATCGACCCCACCAGCTCTGGCGAGCACTAAGGACCTCAACAAGGGCCCGCGCGCGCACCGACCGCCCTGCACAAACAACCCGAATTGGACGGATGTCCCGCGTGCCTGCTGCTAACCAGCTGGCCAGCAGAATAGGCGCTGGAAACGGGGCAGGGTGTGGTATAAATATGGAAGGTCTCATAGTGGACGGTAAAGTGGGACTGGTTTCACCATTGGCGCTACTCACGGGACGGATGTTCAGATATTTGCAGATGATTGTAAAGTGGATGTGAACTGTGATGTGCTGGTAGGTATTACGGTGATGTGGGTTGCGAGTACCATTGGGTTGATGGAGACACATCTAGTTATATGACAAGCAAACGTGGGCATGATCCCCACCAGCGCACAGCTAACCTGCATGACAATGAATGGCCACTTTTCCCTGGGTGAGTGCAAATGCTAGCACTTTGGTGATGTCCAAAATGCCCGCTAGCGACGGCTCGCCGTAGTCCTTCCATCCAAAATTGTAGAAAAACACTGAAACAAAATGGAGCGCTTGTGAAGTCAAAGCGAAGGTAAATGGCGGTCAAAGTCTAGCGGACGGCTATCATATTACGCATGGAATTGGCTCCAGATATGTCACTCAATTAAGTTACAAAATATTTTACTCTCCACATGAAGATCTCTAAGCCAACTGTCACATCTCTGCACCTTCTCCAATGTAAATTACGAAGTGACGGACTCTTCCGGACTGAACCTCGCTACCCTCCGTGCGGCTAGCCCTGCGTGACACTTATAGATTGATAGTTGATGATTGTGTGATGCGATGATGACCTGCCAATAAAATTAAACGGTGAACTGATTTTCGATGGATTAAATACCAGTTGCATACCAAACTTGGGAACTTAATAAGCCGGCAGCAAAATGGCAACAGCCTATTCGACTTCACAGAAAAGCGACCACAAAAGTAGTACTAAAAAGCGTCATACATGGATCCTAACAATATAAAAATGATAGCGACCACTGAAACTATTCGTTGAATCATCGATCTATCACCGTGACAGCCATTTAGTCGACCCACATACCGTCATTGGTCATGAAAATATTGGGGTCGTATGTGAAGCCGCTCTGTTCAATAGTGCCACAGTGGGAGTGCTCGCCGGGTAGCTGAAGGTTGACCAAAGACCGGATCCCCAGCCTGCGGGCAGAGAGGTCAGCATCAGGTCAGTGCAGTGGTCCGTGGAAGGCGTGAAAATGGGGAGGAGGTCAGTCTTTGGTAGTGGCGATGGGAAAGCAAATGGGAAATGAGCGTTGGGAGAGGGTAAATGGTATGACACTATAGTTGAGTCAGTTTTTGGGAGAGAATGAAGGACTCCGGGTCAAATCCATAGCACAGTCGACTGGAGGTAAGCGTCAGGCCAGAGAACAGACATCAATGCAGCTCAGCGGACCCATATCATTCTGAAGCTGCTCATCAGAGCAGCACGGCCTAGAACAAGACAGACACCGTAGAATTGCAACGGCGCAACACGTATAAACGTTGGGATGAGTGATATAGTTAACGTTTATCTTACTTAAGACGAAATAGTTGTGGATGGGTTCAGGACTAAATATTCTGTATTTGTTTGCTCATAGAACATAATCATGATTGTAAGACAGGCCCATTTTCGGTTTACGTTATTTCTTACGTACGCACATGCCTACGTACATTCGTGTGTAAGAGTCAGGCCCTAAAACTCGGCGATTTAAGCTGAGCCAGCTAGTCCCTGAACCAAGCTCATCAGGCATGATTCGGAAGAACGAATATCAAAAATTTAATTGCTTTTAATAAAAACGTTGTATAAGGCTAGATATTCGCAAATCGTGATCGGTCATGGCTTTTTATTGCATAAGTAGGCACTAGGCAGCCGCATTATGCGGAAACATCAACTTTTTAACATCCTGTTTCAAGATTAAACATGTATGATGAATGTTTCGAACACACCCTTGACATGTTTTAGCCATGCATTTGCACTAAATCCCTCCCACTCTGATTTTTGCTAATCTATCACCGTTACATTGTCAGACGAAAAGAAACGAGGCGGTTGCAGCCTAGTCCCTAATCTGTTCCGATACCATCGGCGGCGACTGTGAGCGGGCGGGCTGTGCCTATCGGACAAACCGGAGACATATGTCAGACGAGCTGTGGCCCCGCTAACCAGAAAACCAGACACCCAACTGGGATGGGGCTGATTTCGGCGGACGGTGTCCCTTAGCACTGACTTATCATATATGCACTGCAAAGTCTGCAATATCGTAGAAATTCTTGAAGTTATTAAGCTAAGAGTTAGGTACATGAAATCGGCAATACCTATATATCTATAACGATTTAATTATTAGCTTAACTTCATCCTATTTTTGATAAAGACTGTGGCTATGACTGTGACTATGACTGGCATAAACCCCAAATAATGCGAGTTATGTGCTTTTGACTAAAATTCTGTCAGAACTGCAATAGGTATCGCTATTCTTTTGCATGGGACAAACATCAGTAGTAATGCCCTAGCCCTATAGTCGGCCGAGGGGGTGCCGCCCCCTAGTTTTTTTTTCGCGATAGCTCCAAGCACGCCAGCGATAGAGGACTGAAACTTGGTATACCTGACCTTTGATCCAAGACGTGTCTTCTGACACCAGCCTCATTTCCAGGTCAGGTAAGGCCCCTCTATGACGTCATAAGTGAACCTCTGCACGGTCCTCAGATGTCGCAACTTCGCAACGCCCTCAGCGCCAGAGGAACTTTCACAGGGAGATGAAATTTACAGGATGTAGTATCTTCTAGAGGTCTCACAGCCTGCATATCTCGGATTTTTCCTAAAGGTCACATAAGGTCAGGTCGGTCACGTGACCTCACCATTATATCCCTCGCCCTGTAAGGGAGGGGGGGGGGGGTCCATGCGACCTCCCTGAGTTTTTTTTTGCGATGGGCACCGAACCATTACGCGTATCGTGCTGAAATTTTCCATAGCATATGGGGCAGGCCTTGCGCAACTTTTGATAAAAACGTTATTTTCGGGTCATGTTAGGTCACCGAGCTATGACGTCATAAAAGGTTCAACCTCCGACCGTTTTTGACAGAAATCGTACATTCCGCGTAACTGGACGTGACCTCATCGACAAGAACGAAACTGTTTCGTGTGGTTTATGTCAGATTTTGACAGGACGTGAATCTTTGCATTGTATAATATTGACCTTTCTAGGGTCAACCAAGGTCAATGACCTCGCATGTTCACACGATGACTTCTGTGATATGAGCTGTGTTTAGTGGGGTTTCTTGAGGTCCTGAATCCGAATCCGTGGTTCAGTTTTCACCTAAACGCCTTCAAAACTGTTCCTTGACCTTAACAAGGTCAATCAAGGTCAATTAGGACCGTCCTCGTCGGCGGTGGGTATGACCTCCCGTGTTCCCGGAGACTACGTCACGCCAGTAATGCTGAAATGCGGTCAACTATACATCATTTTGTAGCTTATTTGTTGAGAAACAAGGCCGTAAAAGTTCCATGTCGCTATCTTTCATAGATTTGCCAATATTGGCTAAGTAACTTGGAAAATTATAGCTTTTCCCTGAAATTTGACCTTTGACCTGTCATAACTGGGTCAAATATTGACCTAGGGTCGAAACTATTACTACCAATCGCGAGTACCCGTTGAGAGCAATCGTTTTGGTTGCGAAGCACTACGACGCTTAGTTTCGAAACGCCAGGGGGGGAGGTCGCATCGACTCCCTCCCCTGCCAGGCCGCGTTTTGAAAAAGGCCGTGCCAGGGGGAGGGTTATGTCACTGGGGGAAAATGAAAACTGCTATTCTAGCGCCGGGAACAATCTCAAACCATCACAATCACGCGGAATCTTTTTCCACTCCTTGATTGGTTCGAATCTTCAATTTTGCATCGCTGACCCAGGGTGATGTTAGTAATGACGTCACTTGGGTCAGTTTTTCGTCAATAACTCCCGATAAAATTGAGCTAGCAAGTCGGGAAAGCCACCAACGGACTCAGCCACCAAGGACCTGCAGGATCGAATGATATGCTAATGCAGCATGACATCCTACGACCAACTTCGTGACCTGGGAGCGCTAACCTGACCTTGACCTGAGGTCAACACCTCAAGTTGACCTCACCCGAACAAAAAGTATACCATTCGACGCACCTGAACAAGGAAAACACGATTATGTCAAAATCGCGGCTCTACGACCGTTTTTTGCGAAGTTATTTATGAAAAACTTAACCTGTGCCTTGGGTCACTTAACCTGACCTCAGAGATGACCAATTGACCTGAGACCATAAAATTGGTTACCAGTCGCTGCGTCTAGTAACGGCAGGCACACGCTTTTCCGCCACACTCTAGCTCCATCAGGGGCGAAACGGTGGGGGGGGGGGTCGTACCAACCAACCCCCCTCGGCCGGCGCGTATGTAGAAAGCCAATGGATCCGGCGAGGGCCAGCTGTTGAATAAAACATGGCGAGGGAGATAACTGTATGTAGTGGATGTTATTGCTTCAATAGTGCATACTGTCCTCCCTTAATCCCATTTTTGTTTCACAAACGCGGTCACGAGGATGAATGGGCTTTATACGTCATTTTATCTTAGACTTGTCTCTAATTGCACAACTTTATGCGTCATTTGCATAATCACTCATATCACAGAAAAATGCTGATTACTTGATTACCATAAATATCCCATATCTGATACCTACCCAACCTAAGTTGACATTGACCCACATAATGGGGCATTAAAGACGCTTACGTCTTATGCTGAGACACCTAAAGACGCTGAAGATTTCAACTATGTATAAGTCTCTCTAATGTATACATTTGCGCCAGTATCGTTCTGCAGCGTAAAGTGTCGTAAATATGTTTTATTTTTGGTTGAACATAATTGATCTTTTTTCTTTCTCATCAAAACTTCTTGGTCTGTTAAGAGTTTATCACAATTTTTCATTTGCAATCATTTAAGCATTATCTCTTTATATTAAGAATTTGGCAAATAAAAATAAAAAGAAATATGCACAGTAATACGGCATATCGTAAAGAAATCAGTGCACTAATGTTTGTAATTTAATGTCGCTCTACAAAAGCCAAAATCCCGTCAACGGTTAATGCTGAGATTCATCGATTAATAATGACTGATGCTGGCCTGGCCTGGCTGGCAACACTGCAGTGAGTATATCCTTGAAACCCCTGACCTAAATGTATCCAAGCCTTTTGTGCGTCATGAAATCAGTTTAGCCCTCAGGATATACCGGAACCGGCGGATTAACAAGAGCATATACTTGTTAGTAGCACAAGACCACACGCAACTAGGACAAAAAGATATGCGGGTAAGTCTGGTTATTGCAAGGTTCTAAGGACAAAAATGGGTGCGGTTCCCATCTTGATGCTTTTTGAAGGTCACAGCCCAAAAGAAAAGCTTGTGTTATCCACGCAACATTATCTGGAGCATAAATCTCGTAATTACTCGTCCGTTGTTCTCATTTCTCCGGGATCGCTGTTCATGCAATTTACAAATGCAGTGTGGCCTGTGGGTACTCCGCGAATATATCTACAATCGTTGTACTTGTAAGAATGATAGCCTATCTCTCTTGAGTTTCTTGGTTTATGAATATAAATTGCGATTTCAAAAGAAAACATCTTTTCGCGAAGCTTTTGGCAATGCACCATCAGCTCAAAACATATTCCATCAAGCATATTCAACTTCAAGACTATACCGGCTACTTAGCGCTGGTTATGGATAGCATCAGTTATGGAAATCGAGAAAATCGCATGGTGTTTTCATTGCAGGTGGAAGGCAACAACTGTTCCAGAGGTGGAAGGCTGCTTCTAGTTTCTAAAGCAAAACGATTCTCGGCTTAAAAACAATATTGAAATACATTTCTAGGTGCACCTTCTTTGTGTCTATCGTTATCAGGAACAAGTCCGCTCACCAGCTTATAAACGCCAAGAAACTTTCCAATTTGTTACATTGGATAATGGATAAGCTACAAGTCATTTATGCCTGGTGCTAAGCCTGTTCCGTATAGCTCAGTTGGTAGAGCAACGGACTACCGGTAGTGAGAGCCCGGGTTCGAGTCGCTCCGGCGCTCGATATTTGAAACTTCTGACGAGGATGGTCTGCGGTTGGTGGGACGGGAGCAGCCGCAGCCAGTTGAAGTCAGCTGAGTGGGACAGGCCGTGTCCGGCTTTGAAGGGCACGTTAAAGGTAGTGTGCCACCTTCCAATGATTTCCCATGTATTTTTCCTAGGATAAGAAGCTTCTGTTTTTACCTAATATCGTAAAAAAATCACAAATGGGCCTAAAATAGTGTTTTTTTTTCGCCTAAAAGTTTATCGGTTTTTCGATATGTATAACAACTGTAGTGAGCTGACCTGCAAACAGGCGTCGGCAACAATCGCGAATGCGGCGCACATGTGACAATAAGCAAAGGTCATTATAGAGTTACGACGTACGGGAATGATTTATCAGCTGTCTAATCGTAGACAACACAATGTCGAATTTAAACTGTAAGCCTGTATTGGTATTGTTTCTTTTAATTTGGCTGTCGAACATTAATTTATGGTTTGAAATATTATTTTATGTAAAATAACTGATATGAAACAGCCGTCTCTAAAGTTATGACCCCATCTCACCACATGAAAGTGGCAGAAATGACAATGATCAGCTGACACATTTTTCTTGGCCGAAGTCAGAGCGCGCGGCCCGACGCACCACCACCGCTCCACAAAGTATGAGCAGAAGCCGCACCCAAAGCTAGGGTCCCGGTAACGTGAGGTAGCCGAGTCGGGGCAGCGTGCGCTGACCCAAGCCGGGGCTGCGGCTTTGGGCGCGGTCTACCGCATCCCCGCGGGCAGCCCCGGGCTATCACATGACACCGGGAGGACGCGCGGCCCCGGCTTGGGTCAGCGCACGCTGCCCCGACTCGGCTACCTCACGTTACCGGGGCCCTGGCTTTGGGCGCGGTCTACCGCACCACCTATCAGGCGTGTTCGAAACCGCAGGAGATGATGATTAACGGGTTTATCGAAACTTGATTGGATGAGCCTATCGGTAATAGCGATTTCAGTGTGTGCATTTATTGTTCATAGTGGTGTGAAATGTGGTTGGGGTACGACCGACAACCCGTTGGGGCGAATTTCGCACTGGGGTACTCAAAATTTGAAGAATTTAAGACGTTTCCATGAGTTTTGAAGGTATGGATAAGTTCTAAAAATCCGGTTCTCCTTATCTGGGCCATTACCTCCATACGGTCCAGGAAAGCTGGCACACTACCTTTAAACTTTGGCATCTAAATTCTCCCCGTTACCCGGAATTGCGCGATCGGGCGGTAGGAGTCGGGGTCTACGCAACAAGCTCTGCTTAGCGTGGGCCTCGGCTCTGTCAATCCGTCCATTCAAACATTCGAACTAAATTTATAATAAAGTACATAACAGGTTTGATGGTGCGCTTCCGATAGTTACGCTCTAAAGCACAATATCACCAGTGCTGCCTTGCAATATTGAATATTGAAGGCTGTGCCGAATCGATGGCCAGACTTTACCCTGTACTCTGACCTTTGAGGCTTACGGTGCGGGGTGCTGTTCAAGCTGCTAGAAAAAACGGGGTGTTCTTTTCACTTGCGCAATGGACTCTGGTATCTTCTCATTTTTCAAAGGTCTATTTTTCATCCGTTTTAGTAGCTAGAAATGTAACGTATTAGGTATGAATTTTTTTCTAGATTAGCTGCATTTGAAGATAAGTGAGAAAATGTTCTCATTCTATATTAAGTTAGCTCCTAATAACATAAAGACAATGTTACGCAATAACTGTGGTCGGCCCAGATCTAATCAATACAGGGATTTCACCCATCATGTATGTCAGCACCCCATGCGGCCGTATACGCCATACCATACCCTTTTAATCCTGATTGGGCACTACTGAGCCTGTGTTAATCCCACACGGACGCATGGCACGCAAATGGGTAATTTCCCGGGCACAAATAAACTATGCAAACGAGGCCTTCCAGCCACCAGGCACGCCACTGTTGTAACGACAAAACAAAACTGGCCTTGGACTATCGGATGCTTCGTCTTCCCCAGCTCTTGGGGGTTACAGGCCACTCAAGCAGTGACGTGCTTAGTATCACATATAAGTGAATTTATTAGACGAAAAGTTTATTAGAAGTTTGCTTTTATGAGCAATAGAACAAATGGAACTTCATTCTTATTCCATTTCTTTCGGACGTAGCAAATCGACCAAAACCGGATGCCCCTTCAAAGTGGCAATATGCATCTCATACAGATACATTGAAAATATGCTGAAACACTGGCCTTATGCGGGAACATAACGGTGTTCTAAGTTCATATCCAAATGCCACCTATCTCATCTACATATATTAAAATACCTTTGTTCATTTTTTAATGCATCCCCAATGCCCAATGTTCACAACTTTATTCTGCACAAAACTAAGCGCTCTAATTTTGCTTCTGCCTGAATCGCCAAAATAAATATGTTAAATCGATACGACTTTATTAGATAACGTTTGACATGACCTGAAAGAATGTGAGCTGGCCAGATCATCCCGTACACGTCATGCTGAATCCGTGTACGCCATAAATTTATATCTTGTCGACCAGTCTCCGTCGCACTTCTGTCACAGTTGAGCGATCCCCAGTCTAGCCGGATGTCGGGCTGGACAGACCGGGGAATCCCATGGATTCCGTCAGTGGACAGGCTTGGGGTTTTAGAATCACCAAATGATTAAGAGAAATCCGCCTCCGGGATTTGATTGGATGGAATGGCGAAGTAGGCTAGGTATAATAAAGGATGTTTAACGGCTGTTGGTAATTGTGACCGACACTGGCATTCGGCCATCCCCGACTGAACAGCTGCAATGCAATTCCACCTTTGGCCACCAGTTCAAGGGACAGTTACTTACAAGTTCGAGGAAAACTTAACAATAGTCGCTACTCGCTGGCAAACTGCTCAGGCCAGCTTTGCCTTTAGAGACAAATTCAGATGTGACAAGGATGCACACATTTATAGACCGGGGTGCTTACCGTCGGAAGTGCTCGATTGTGCTCTTTTCTCTGATTGTCTTGGTGTTCGGCCTCGCCATCGCCAAAATGTCGTCCGTGATCCTGAAATAAAACACAAACATCGCTGGTAAAATGGGCGCGGACAAGGGCGGTCCGAGCGTTCATGGTGATCCATAACTAGCCCTGCTTAGCATGACACCTGGGCCTACAGTCAACCACCCACACAACCAAAGACCCAATAAAAAATATTAGATGTATAGTTAGCACAGACGAGCTTTAGACATGCTTGCGTTGCAAACATCCCTGACCTTTGCGCTGCAGAAGAGTTTCATTCGCTAAGCACTGACGCGACACTGTAGAAATAAAATAATGGAAAGAGACAGGTGGAAACATTGGAAACGACCTTCAGTAAGTGTCCGTTTCTGACCGATTCACCTCCGTGGTGAATCCGGGTGTAGATCAAACCAGGCGTGATGATCAGCTTGTTGATAAGCCGTGAAAACTTTTGAAGCGATGCAATGCTACCCGATCGCAGACACTGTCTTAACACATGTCTACACCCAATAACATTAGTGATCTGCAAGATCCGTGACATGCCATATCCGGTGTAAGGTTACCCAATCTATCGTACCACTACTTTTAACTCGTTCTCACTTATAACAACTTCCTAGACTTCTGTCGTGACCGCTATGGTCAAGTATGATGTAATACCAATTTTGATAAAGAAATGCACAGTTGACAGTGGAATGCTTCTTTTTCTAACATGACTGTGACATAAATTCTCCTTTTGATTAAAATAAAAGAACGTTTTAAGTGTGAACAAGTCTGGTAATCAACTTTGCTCAAAATACAGATCTTCTCTCCAAAAGTTATTGGCATCAATTAAGGTGAAAACCACTCTTTTCATTTAAAAGACAATTTGTCATCTAAATTTCTTAAGCCCTAAGCAAAAGTTAGCGATAACCGAAGGCCTGGGTTAAGAACGCTATAAGGAGACTGTAGCGGGGCTCAATCGAATGCCGGTGTTTTGTCTGCAAACAAATGCCCAGCCATGCTACCAAGAGACGAAGAGCAACAGTTTGAGAGGACATGACTTGACACGATGACTATTGAAGCGTTGTGTTAGAGGGCACAGCGCAAAGCACAGCTTACGCTCATCGACCGCGGTACTTTAAGCTATCATTTAAACACAAGATTGTCTTTGCTGAGCCTGGTTTAAGTCCGTTAAGCTGACGTTCAGTCACTTTTAGCTCTGTCAGGCCTAAATTGGGGCCAAGCTTCGCACTCAATGCCATAAACTTTGCACTAGATGCGCAAGCCTGCATAGACGTATCTCAGGGAAGATGAGCTCGATTTCGGATAATTACGTACTAGAGAGTTAAATAAAGAGCTGACGTGTTTGGGTCGTGGATTGGATAACGCAGAAAGTGCATGTTGCAGGGCTCCAGTCCAACTGCCATTTGCTTTTACAATTTTACACATGCTATATTGTTTCTGCATCACATGTCGTCAATCGTAACCCAATTGTCGGAGGCGTCAAAGATACCGATTGAAACGGTATTCAGCTATACGATAAGAAACATATCCGCTTGGACTGCTCCTGCAGGATGTAGCCTAAGCTGAGGAACGGCTAGTCTGACTGCTCTGGAGTGAAGCTTTGTGCTCGAGCTGGCTGTCTTTTTTCTGTGTTGACCAGTTCATCGTCAAAACAGGTGAGCTACTGACACGATTACATGGTGAGGAGCAGAACAGGTTGTTTACTTTGCTATGGGTCAGTGGAGGAGCAGCACCTCTTTGGGCCAGTGAACTTTAGGGACTTACATAACAGCTGCTGCCCCAACTGTGAAGAGGCAGGTTCACAAATAGGTACTCCTTGCAACGTATGTATATGTCATTTTTACGCTGTGCTTGTCCTGGCTGGATTTTTCTGCGTTTAAAATGTTAGCGTGCTGTGAGATATGTGAGATATAAATAACCATCAAATAAGAGCTATTAAAATTGGACGTGAACTAAAGCCAGAGCTTTATGAAAGACGCTTTTCCAAACAGGAAAAATAATAGACTTTCGCATGGAACTTTATGAAAAAGACAAGCTCCCATGGATTCCGAAATGCAATCTTACATCTTATCCAAACCCCCAGATAACGTTAGCAGTTATGTTTCAAACATTTCTGAGTCCCATAATATCCAGAGCTGTCCCCGGCCTCTCTCATAATTGCCACCAACTATTACCTTCACATCCAGCGACATCGATCCCACCACCTTCCGCTCCCACAACCATCGCTAACCTCCCTAGCACAATTCACTCAACTCTCCCAAAGCCCCTGCCCCTCCCAACTCACCAGTGCGAGTAGATGCCGTCGACGGCCATCTCGCTCTCACTCCACTCTCGGCCGCTCTCATACTTGCACCGTTTGCCGCCGCAGAACATAGAGCACTGCAGCTCGTTGGGTGTCACCGTGCGCACGCTCTCCGAGAACATGTTGTAGTTGGGCTGCACCGTCGGCGTCTCGTCGGAGGGACGGATGAGCGCGGCTGGCCTCAGAGCCAGCAGCTCCGGAGGACGGGTGTGGGTCATTGTGGCCTCCGACTGCCGACCGAGAGGGTGCAGAAAGGTCACTTTAAAACACAAGTCATAAGAGAAGTCAGCCACTTCTTGGACTGAGTCAGCTACCGGATGTACTGGGCCAGTCCCTACATGCTTCCATGGACCGAGCCAATTAACTGAATGACTGGTCCAATAAATCCAGACGAGGTCAGAAACCTCATTAACTGCGTCACACACTTTACGAACTATGTAGGTTACCGGGCTACCCTCGGTATAGGTCGAAAGCATCATGAAACAATATAAGGACCATGCTAGATACGAGTTGTACTGTGCCTCTCGGATTGCCTCAGAAGCCACACAGAGTGGGCCAGAGTGGTCTCAGAGGGGTCATACACCTTATAGACTGAAATACTCATGGACCGAGTTTGTTAGACGCCGGGCAAGCTGTTAGTCACCTTTTGGCTTTGTTAGACATTACTCACGGATTGGGTACATTCATATACCCGGGACATTTTACTGGTACATATACCTGGGACATTTTACTGGGACATATACCTGGGACATTTTACTGGGATATACATAACTACTCACATATACCGGGGACATTTTTGCTGCACTGCACTGCGTTGCTGGGGCATCTAGGCTGAATTCGATACGATAATGTATTTCAGCGCCGATGTCCGCAATCCACTCTAGTTTGACCCGGCTCGAAACCGACCTGACCTATCCGGTATTTACTCGCCACTGCTGCGCCTTTCAAACAGACGCAATTCGCATTGATCTGTATCTGGTTCAGACCGGATATGTTCAACATAACATCAAAAACAGAAGTGTCGATGCGTGGCTTCGGCGTAGGAACACATTTCAATATTGCTGGCAAGTGAGTGTTGTGATATTTCTTTGCAGTACTTAACAACCATTTAAAAGAAATAGTTGAAGGCTTTTGTATCTATGGTTCTTTCATGGAAGAAGTTTGTGCATGAAATGAACCCTTTAAACATATCTTAACAGGGATAAAAATGGAATTTAATTAACTGTAAGTCTGAACTTTGAATACCGTCTTCTTTGTAAACTACCTCCTCTTCTTCATCTATCATTATTCGTATTATTACAATACACCTTCCAATAAAAATATTACACAAATACAAGCACAACCAGACAGTTTTAGTGATCACCGGGACACAATTGAGACAGTTCCGTATCTGTTCTGTATCTGTTGTAGTTCAGATCTGTATCCTCCCCTTGTGATGCAAGTGCCATCTTTCTGTTCGTACCTGTCGGTCTCCGTTCTGCATGGGGTCAAGCCGTCGTGGCCGTCGACCTGGTGCGTGCTCCAGGGGCGAGTTCCAGAGGGCCCAGCGACCGGCTGGGCAGAGCTACAGCAGAAGAAAATCACCGAGAGCACCGACACGACGGCAGGGACGGAACTCAGACGGTAACGGGGAAGGTAAGGAGAGATTTGGCGAGAGGAGACGGTAAATTAGCTTGAGATTATGAGCTTACTCGAGAAATGCAGTAAGAAGGAAATAACTGAGCAGTCTTCGAGCCTGGAAGAGGTTTTCGATGCAAGGAGCTAGAGAGCAGAGGAGAGTTTATAAGAAATGTTAGATGTCACAAGCACCTTACTGCATGACTTGAAACGCCTGACAGCAGACTTGCGGTGCTGACCTTAGCACGGCCACAGAACAATGACGCGTCACTCAACCAGCCACCGTGTATGTCACAGGCACATCTCGTCTGACAACACTCTGCGATCGCCGTTGGGCATCACTGGGGTGTCCGCTCACCGAACGGTCCCCGATCGGGTGACGGGCCGGCCGGGGCGCCGCCGGCGGCTGGCCCGGGGCTGCGGCTCGCTCGCACCACCCACCTGTGACCACTGAGGTCGGCAGCGACGCGTCGCCGACCTGGCCCGGTCGATATGGGCTGCGCCAGTAGCCGTGCCCCCGCCGTCGGCAGCGGCTCGATGCCCCCAAAGGAGGGGACACGTGCACCGACCGTCGCCAACGGCGGCCCGCGGCCACCGTCTGCCGACCCCCCGGCCCAAGGACCCGACCGGTGACGTGTGTTTGTATGTGTGCCTGCGTGGTCAGGGAGTGGCAGTGTGGATGACGCATCCAAACAGCAGTTTGAGTAAGGGCGTGGGCATGTGTCTGTGAGGGATGAGGGCGCCTATTGACCTGGAAACATCGGTAATGTTGGTGGCGGATTGCATATTTGAGTGATTATTAGCAAGCCAAAATCAGCGTACACAAATGCTGCCATTGCAGTCAAAATAAACATGAAAATGTGCTTGCTTTGGGGAGGGGGGTCACAATGAAGCCCAGCGAGAACAAACCTCTGACCATTTTTAAACTAAAACTTGCCGCTAGCATCTAAAATTATTGGCTTATAGATTTCTATACGTCAAATGGCGGATGATTGCTTTTCTGTACTGCCGATTGTCGTCTGGATACAGCCACCATTTAGAATAATGTAATTTCTCACATTTTAATGAGATGATAACGAGTTTCCGCTGAATTTTGGGTCCCAAGAAATAAAAAGGAGCACGCCAACGTAACGCTTTTATATAGTAATTATCTTCATTAAATGTCCTATCAGTTGAGAGCAGGTCTACAGATGTTTAGAGGCCTTCATTTGGAAGGATATACAACCCTTATCAAGAGGAAGATACTTCGATTGTATTAGGCTTTGCTTGAACGCTATTCGCTTACGCTTCGTCATCAGATTTGAGGTGAGATAACACATTGCTGAAAACGGCATGCAAGTCAAATCGTAAAATGTATTTTAACCTTTGGAGACAAAGCATATTAGCTCCCCAATAATGAGCCTGCAAAAACAAGTCTCCAGTTTATGTCCACTAATCAGTGACAGGAGCACAGACACTAAGCGCTGATATTTCAGTGCATACGGAACATCCTGTCTACCGGGACAGCCGTGCCACTGCGCCGTCACCACCCCCGACCGGAAAGTCCACTGACTAAAGGTCACCGACCCGGCCGGAGGTGACGAAGGCGGTGATTCCGGGTCGGAGACGAGTCGCCGAAATCCCCATCGGATTATCACGACTCTGGTGTAGTGTGCCGTATGTGATACATCTGTTGTCTCCATTCTTTTTTTATACGAAGAAACGTGATCAGTTGAAATGAAAGAGAACAAGCACCAGGAAATTGATGATTAGCGTTTTTAAGTTTAATCATAACCCTCATTGCTCTGGAAACAATATGATACAGAGGCGGATCCAGCTCAAAGTTTTTTTTTTGGGGGGGGGGGGCAAACCATAACAATTTATCGATTCTTTCCATGTCTCGTCCATAGGCGATAATGTTAAAATTATGCCGTTTGGGAGGGGCAAATGCCCATTTTGCCCCCTGGATCCGCCACTGATATGATACACCAGCTTCAACCCAACCTTCCAGGCTTTTACCTGGCTGAAAGTTTCAGCGCTGCATGAGTCGTCCAGCCGTCCAGTGTTTGTAATTTCAAAGCCATTCTTCTGATTCAACCGATGGCATTAAGCTCAAGACGAAGTAACTATGAATAACAATGCTAAAAGAGATGCAGACTTGCGCGACTCTCTCCTCCCAGCTCCTGAGAGGCGACTCTACCCGGCCGCGGCCGCTCAACCGCTACACCGCCCGGTCGCCGAAGCCCGATCACCGCCCCTGCGGGCAAACTATCCCGCCGGGCACCCGACCAACGCCCCTGCTGGCAGACTGTCCCGCCGGGCGCACCTGTCACCGTCCCTGCGGGCAAACTGTCTTGAAGGGGAACCGATCACCGCCCCTGCGGGCAAACTGACCCGCCGGGCACCCGATCACCGCCCCTATTCGCAGACTGTCCCGCCGGGCATGTGGTCACCACCCCTGCGGACAGACGTTTCCCCGGTCGCCAGACCCATGGTCACCGCCCTTGCGGGCAGCCGGCAGACTGACCCGCCGGTCACGTACTGCGGCCAGACCAGACACTATACAAAAATGTTCACGAAAAGAGAAACACGGTCAATACATTTTACAACTAAGGAGGCAATAGCAATTCCAGCCCTCTGTGCCCCAAATCAAATGTTTTGATGACACGTAATGTGTATAACATAATGGTAAAGCAAAAGAAGTTTTTTTTTTAATGTTTGTTTCTCATATGAAAAGGCAGTTTCATGAACTTTACATGTGAGCGTGACGTTTTTCGGTTTTCTGTCATACCTAGTCGCAACTGGTCCCATGCATGTTAGCTCCCTTTGCCCAGTTCCGCTGTGAGCCCCAGCAAACCAACGCGCCATGCGCCGGGTCAGTGGGCAGTGCCCACACGACATGACCGTGCGACGACCACCGACCCAACATTGCCTCGGGGCACGCATAGCTGAACCCTGATTGTCGACTGCAATCAATGAGCCGCGTGATAAAGCTCGCTCGTATGGGACCGGCAAGTCGTAATCGCCAGCACTTGCCCGGTTTTATGGTGGTTTTGCTCGGTATGTCGGTTTCGGGGCCAGTCGAGGGTTGCCAGGTGGTGGTCCGATGTGTTGTACGGTGCACGACATGACTTCATACACACTGCTGGCTTCGTGACATTGACCTTGGTATACGGTAACCCGTCATGGCTCTGCTGCCGCTGTCCTGCAAGGTGACTTATTCATGCACTGTTCACGTAGCTTTGAAGTGTTCATAGCAAATAAATTATTGAGTGTATTAGAGTCCTCAGATGCTGTCCATCTAGTTGAACATCTGATGAGATAACATTAACAAAAGATGGGCAATGACCAGCTCGGACATTAGCGCCGGGCAGTGGGCAGATGGGCAGGTCATGCAGCTGTGTCAGCGGACAGTCCAGGGTCCGAACCGCAGCGCCGGATACGTTGGACGGGCCAGTCAGCAATGTCGGACACTGGGCAGTTGACAGGCCGGTACCTGGTGGCACTAGCGGCTGCGAACAGGTTGTCTCAGCCTGAAGTTCCGGTTCTTGGATTTGGAGGTGTTTTACACGGCTTTGCACATACTACCCCCAAAGCAACTGGGGTATCCCAGGGGTATCCCGCTTTTTAAAATTCAAGAAGAGGCAAGTGGTGCGAGGGTCCGGTGCTAATGCATTTTGTATAATGTTTGCCTTATGTTGATATCCGAACTTAATAATTTGCGAATGGTATAAATGACATTGGCTCAATTTTATCACTCATGTCACAATCAAAGATTTCGTACGATACGATAGCCATTGGCTCACCAGCTGCAATACAGCCAGTTCTCCAGTGCTGATTAACGGTTATCATTCCCCCTGATAGCATCGACCACATGCACCTAACCATCCGCTAATTGCTAAAGAACACCCAATCACCAATGTTTTATCCATGCCGTCCAATTATCACCAAAACCAGACGCTGTCATTAAACCTGCTTGACATACATTTGCTATTGTTAAAGGGACCCTCCCACCTTCAAAAAAGTTTATGAATTGGCATGAAAGTGATGTCGCTCGGTTCAGAAAGAGCGAAAACGAATATCTACCAAATTTCACCGAAAAAATATTCACCGGTTTTCAAGATATTAGACTTTTACTTTTGTTTACTTTTTGGGATCTCCGCTGTTCCTAGCGACTTTATTTGGAAGCAATAGTTTGGCAGCTGAAAGTGCGGCACTTGTTGCGCGCAAAGCAGCATATACCGCTGCGTGCTACAAAACGTTTTAGTCAAACATTTAAAGATCTTTAGATATCTGCGCTGACGTCACACATTCAGAGGGGTATTCCTGTGCATTAGCCCCTCTGAATCAAAATGCTGCAATTTTGAAATTCAATATTTCCGATTTAAGGCATTTCTCGATGTTGTGAGTGCCGAAACCGGTAATTGTGAGTCAGGGACCCCATTTTGGCTATCTCAACCCAAATCTAATATTAAGGTGGGAGGGTCCCTTTAATATCGGAACGCAACGTGTTTTACCGAAATGAAAATGAATACCTACTTTATTGAAACGCTAGTATCACTGGAGTTTTACATCTGACTATTAGATAACGATTTCCATAACCAGCCACTAGAGCTGTGTGTCAAAGGGCAACCGCTCTCCCTCGTCACACCCACGCGAGATTTTGGTGCTAGTGTTCTGGTCGACGCTGCAGTCTCCCTGCTCTCGTCTCGGTAGATGAGCTCTTGCTCCGGCCGCGGTCACAGTTAAGGCCTGGCTACACTATGCGTTTTCTTCGTGCGTTTTTTGCGTGTTTGCGTGTTTTGCGTTATATCGTTCTAGAAAAAAGAGCGATATTACGTTTTTGTGATGTTTTTCACCTTAAATTCTAGTTAAATAAGAGTTATATTAGCTTTTGTATATAACCAAAGTAAAAATTATATTGTTTATAACATTTTTCCTAGAACGATATTACGCAAAACACGCAAACCTGCAAAAACGCACGCAGAAAACGCATAGTGTAGCCAGGCCTTTACACTCCTGTTCCATCGTTGCAGTCTCCATCTCAGCCTAGCACGGATGATGCTGATTCCGTGGTCAAAGGCTATGGTCGCTGCGGTCAAAGGCTATGTGGTCGTCGCGGCAAAGGCTATGTGGTTGAGACCTTGGTCGGAGAGGGACCGTCCTCGGATAGAGCGGGACTTCTCGCCTCCAGGACGTCACCGATTAGACTGCCGGGAATGTGAAACATGTCCGTCGACGGAAGCTATAGTGCATCAGACCTCAAAGCTTAGTGGCTGGAAAACACCAGACACGTTTTTAAGAAACAATATCTTGCGTGCTTTATAAAAATTCACGTCTGAAAACGTAATGGGTATTTGGTTGAAACCATGTTGTTAGGAAATCGTAATATCGTTTACATTTTTACAAGATAAACCATTCTTTATTCTGTATTCTAGCCTTTGATATAACATATGAAGCATTAAAGATACGCGTGAAAATGAACTACGACGATCCGACTGTAAGCTTAGATGGATGTCTCAAGAAGCTTCTCATTTCAGATATTACCGAAGTCATGCATCTGAATTTATGTTCAACATGTATTAGTAAACATACGCACCTTAATCGACATATCAAGTGATAGCACCATGCAGCAGTCGACTTCTGCAACAGTGACGCTAGAGACCAGCTCTTCAGGTCGCACGAACCATATCCTATGAAAATAGCTGCTGCCGCTGCCATCAGCAATTAACATGGCGTTCCGTTTCAATGCTACGGTGACTATTACATTTATTATAGTCTGCATCACACCGGTCCTGTTGGCTGAATACAATGTCGTTATGTGACTGTGGTTAGCATTTTAAGACCGAAACGCATAAATTAGAAATTGCGTTTTCCGTTATAATTCTCATAAAACGTTTAATGGGAACTGGTTTACCATTACAGCGGGTTTTGTTTCTACAAGTTTAAGTTTCGCCTGAGCAGCAGCAGCAGCAGCGTTTTACAATTAATGTGAGCGTTACTAACTATAAGGTAGAAACATATAACATATATGCTTAGTCGAATGCACCATGCACTTCATCGATGCCTTCAGTTCAGCATACAACTTCAG